GTAGGTAGGTAGGTAGGTAGGTAGGTAGGTAGGAGGTAGGTAGGTAGGTAGGTAGGTAGGGTGGGTAGGTAGGTAGGTAGGTAGGTAGGCAGGCAGGCAGGCAGGCAGGCAGGGGAGGAGGAGGAGTAGGAGTGGCAGCAGAAGAAGAAGTAGGAGGAACAGTAGTCGCAAGTAATCTGCATGCCTGTCGCCTTGCCAGGCTTGGGGACAGTGAAGCTGAAGATGCATTTCTACCGGAACAATGAATCGAAAAGCAGCAGCCATCATATCCGGAGAGGGGGTGGAGCTGCAGGGTACAACTATCGGCAGGAGCACTTGCACTCGACAAGACGACGATCGACTGACACCAAGAGGAGGCGAAAGCGGGAATTAATCAATGCATGACGACATCTGTAGGCTTTCCTGCCGGCGGTGCTCATTATTCGGGCTGTGCTGCTAGCGGTCTCAGACACTCCGTAGTCCAGATCATTTACTGGCAAGACAGCAGATCTCAGGCGAGGAGCCGTAGCTGCCGTAGCCGGCTCTGCCCCTGACTTTTGGGCGACAGGCCGACTATCTGCAGAGGCAGCGGCCCTTGCCGACACCTGGCTCGAGGCTCATCCATTTCATGGGACGAAGGAAGTTGAAGGAAGTTGGCGTTTCTGGGCGACTTGTTCTACTTTGCTTTGAAGCCGCTCTTGCAGCTGGCCGTGCGGGGGCTCTTCTGCTGACCTCGCTGGTTTTCGCACTGCATGGGATGTGCTTATTATATCCTATTCTGCTCCCTTCCTTGTGCTTTGGGGCTGCTTGCCGGTACAGGGTCAGCGGCATCGAAAGGATGATTTAGGTCTGCACCTCCTGTTTTGCATACCAAGCCTATCCATTTCAACTACTTGCAGGAGAATGGGGGATAAAGGCACCCCTACAAACCGCATCTTCCTGCAACGGCAAAGAGGTTTCGGGTTTGCAACAGTAGAGTTTAGAGGAGATAAGGGCGGGGAAGGCTGCAGGGGCGCGTCAGGACAGGATGGCCACAGGGTATAGTCCGGGAGGGGCCATGGGAAGGGACACGGGAAATGAAGGGACGGGAGGGGACGTGGAATTTGTGTTTGGGCCTGGGACTGGGCAGGGGAAAAAGGACAAGCAATAGGATAAGACTGGGGGAGTCGGGTCCAAACTTCCAAGCGCAGAGCACTGGGGCAGGCAGAGCAGGCAGGGCCCGAGCAACCTCAAGAATAGTTTGGAAACTGCAGCTGTTTATCTTCAAGACTGAACTGCTGTCTGCAGCATGCCGGTGGAAGCTCCACCGCGAAGGCGTCGAGGATGTGCGGAAGCATGGTGGAAGGCCAAAAGGTGCAGCCGTGATGGGAGGATGAACAACAACAGTCGTGGGCATGAAAGAAACAAGCGATCAACACAAGTGCTTCTTTCATCGGAAATCCTCTATAATAGGTCTATCAGTGCTTGGGGTAGGGACCACTCACGTGCCAAGCTCTATTTGAGGCCTTTTCCTGGTTTAGGGCTTCAAGGAACTCTGAACCATCACATACCGTGCCTTGCTCACCACAGCCGGCTTGCTCACGGGAGGCTTGGCCACCGCCGGCTTCGAAGCCGGTTTGAGGGGCGGCTTGCCCGGCCTTGTGGGCTCTGCCTGCGGCCTGGCCGTCCAGGATTTTTCAATTGTCTTAGACTCCATGCACGACCTGGATACTGTAAGTGCCAGCAAAAAGCAGAAAGCTTGCTGCTGCAGGCTTGGTGGCTGAGACAACAGGGACAAGGATGATGCCACGAATGCTACGTTCTCTTCATCCCCGCCACTGCTGCTGCTGCTGCTGGACTCGACCAGGCGGCTGTCCCCAGCCAGGTTGCTCGTGGTAAAGATACTTGATGCGACGCAGCTCGAGTGAGCGTCATTATCGTCGTCGTCCACAGTGCGGAAGTTCCTCATGCTCATCGAGAAAAGCTTGAAACGTCTCATCTCGGGAGTCTTCCGCTTCAGAGGTGTCTTTGGCCAGGTGCCTTCAGCAGTTTGCCCGTGGAAATAGGACTGCACCATATCGGAGAATTCCTCTGAATTAAGACCTCCATCACAATCCAAATCGAAGGCCGCCACCATGCTGGATGCCTGAGTTCCCAGTCGTTCCCTACCTACTACCGGCAATCGCTATGAAGAGCGCCGCTACACTCCACACCTCTGCAGCCTGAGCTCTACTCGAAGCTCTACATCTATCGTAAGACTAAAACCCGGTATCCTGATACGGTGCTTCTCTCGAGTGGACAAACAGAGGAACCCAAAGCTTTTGCCAGGATGTCTCTGCAACCTCCTCCGCCTCGAGTTCAGGAAACACTCGCAGAAGGTCTCTGGCGGTAATCTTGCCATCCATGTCCTTGGAGGCGCTTGGTCCGGTTGCGGAAATGCATAGCATATGTTTGTCCCTACGGCCGCTAAAGGGATGCTGGTGGTGCTGGTGGTCGCGGTGATGGTGGTGGAGCTGGTGGAGGTGGCGGTAGCTGTTGCTGTTAGTGTTCTGTAGCAGTCACAACTGCCCGGCTCCAGATTTCACAGGCAAGCATCCTTGTCGATCACGCGGAAGCCGGCTAGTATCATTCTCTTGTCCACGCTGGCTGCCTCGTCAGCCAAGACAAAAACACGAAAGATTCCACAATCTTTCTCGGTACCGGTGTGATGGCTCGGAGATGCAGGACGGGGTCCAGGACCGCGTTCACAAGGAATGTGAACCCAAGTTTCCGAGTTGCTTGTTCTATGCAAAACCGAGCTCAATTCAAATAAGGTGGGGAGCCGTTGAAGATTTCAGGCTTGAGGATCATTGTGCTTTGGCTTAGTCTTTCGGGTTAACATACACCCTGTCGGCATGTACTCTCACATTTGACAGCATGGCCCACCGAGCCTGGAGCATCGCAGCCTTGAAGGTTGAAAGCTCTAAAACGCCGACACCATCCGGATCGACCTGGCATTTGGTTGTCAGGTTGCTGGGGCAAGCGGCGAGTGAGGTGCACTTTTGAGTGCTCTGATCTTGTTGCTGTTGGTTATTGCTGCTGCTCGTAAAACCGTAGCCGGCCTTGCATCAGATTCGGCCAGCAAGGCCTGAGTCGTTCTGCGACTTGCACCGCTTTTCGTTCCTGCTTCTCGCAAACCGACCGCAAGAGAAACGGTGGTTCCGAACTCCGAACAGTCAGGATTCTCTTCAGGAGACTCCTCCTCTATGCCGCAGCCGACGACAACAAGACCGAGATTTTTATGTCAAGCCCAGCAGGGCGACGGTCCTAAGCATGGAAGCTACCCCTCGCAGTGTCGGTGTTTGAAGGCCCAAGTTGACGCAGCCCCTACTGCTTGAGCTCAAGCTCAAGGTGAAACATGCTCAAGGCTGCCTAGGCCTAAGTTATCTTTTGCAAGGGACCGCCAACGCCGAGGCCTGAGCCCTGACGCTGGTGCCTGCCGTTTGCTTGAGCCCAACTGGAAATAATATTCCATCGAACTTATAGTGACCAAAGAAGTCAAAAAAAAGCTTTCATCCCGAAGTGCCGCAACCGGTGCTCTTAAACTCTCAAAGCCCGAGCCTGATACAGCAACCACTGGAAGCACTAAACGCCGACCCTCAAGCCGCTGCCTCGGCCAGGAGTGAATGGAAGTTCGGCATCTCGGTGGCTGTGCCGAAAACTTCTTCCAAGGAGCACCTAGGCTGTAACAAAAAAAAGCCGCTGAAACGAACAGGTTGTAAAGTTTTGTCTTTCGTTTAGACCCCACCACCACTGCTCTCAACCGTGTCCCTCCCCAACAAAAAACCCTGCAAGAGCCTGCCCTATCCGCCCTATCCTTCGCTCCACGGCGCTGGAGGTCTGCTGGCGTGAGGAGGCCATCAGCGTCCCTGGAAGCAACATGATGCCAGGAGGGTGCCGAAGGGTCGTTAGGCGACAAAATCTTTAAGAGTTGTGGGCGTTAGAGCTTCTTTCAAGCTCGGGGCTGCTGCAGGCCGCGAGGATGTGCAGGGTAGGTCAAAGGAAAAGTTCCTCTCACCTTTCGCTAGTGCGGCCTTCCCTACAGCTTCAGCGCTCCAGGAAGCTTCAAGACCCGCAGCACAGCAAAGATTCCGGAGCTCTTTAGACGAACATTCGAATGCCAAGTGGCTTGTCAAGCGTGACAAAGAGGTTTTCGCAGCCTCCTCTCTGCCTTCGAGAGAAACAGCTGGGCCCCCTCAGCCCTGAGGTTAAAGCAAACTAGGGTCCACGGTGCCCTGTTGGTGTTGATTACTTTTATCTACATCCCCTTGTTTTTGTTGTTATTGCTGCTGTTGTTGTCATGCATGCAAAAGGAAACCCCGAACGTCTGACATCCCATGCTTGGCTCAAGCAGGGGCGACACAGATCACGCTGCCATCGGAAGGGAGGGATGCTATATCAAATGACACCTTGTTCTGATACCAATAGTGGTCTCAAGCCTTCCGGTCCGGCGACAGGTAGAGTGTGGAGCATGGATTGCAGAACAGCAAGACGGCATCTTTCGCCACGTCAAAAATAGACGGGACATGCTGGAAATCTTAGGCACGAATGCGGCGCGCCGAGTACCAGTTTTGGTCCCATTCTCATTCCAAGATCCAATCTGACTGTACGGGGAAAATCGACAAGAGGTGTTGTACACAAAAGATCCCGAGCACCAGGAGAACACAACCATTCACACATGATAAGGAGCTGAACCTTCGACTTCATGCGGATGAGAGTGGCGAAATAAGGAAGTGTGGCACACAGCCACAAGGGGACACAAGGCCGGCTGCAATGCAGTGTTTCAACAGTGGGTGACACTAACGACCGACAAATAGAAGTGATGCATCAAGGTTAGGGGCCAAGACAGAGTGTTCATTGATTTCCAAAGCAACGAAGGACCTTACTGACAAACGGATGCATCACTTTCCATGCTCAGCAATGTGTCATCGCTGGAAGCCAGGTGAAAATATTTTCGCAACATGGCCTGACCAATGTGCTTACTAAAGTGACTGCCAAGGTGCTCGGCGATGGCTTGCAGCGCAATCCGCTCCAGGCAGCTGGCATTCGCGAAGGCCCTGCGTCAACTCTCTCTGGCTTGCTTTGGAAGCACATACGTTCATTTGGAGGTTACCACAGAAGCCATGGCCGTTTCAACAATACTTTCACCGAGTATCGTTTCGAATCGCGCCCTCCCCGTACCGAACCGAACCGCAACATCTGGGACCACACCAAACCGAACGAAGCCCGCCCCTTTCCGCCCCCCACCCACCTCAGCCCTCCCACCTCCCCCACCCTCCACCCCCACCTCCCCTCACACCTGCATACAAACCCCTCCCACCTCCAGGAGGGAGGAAGCAGGAGTGGGAGATAGGAGGGGAGCGGCGGCATGGAGGGAGGTGGGGGGTGGGTGGCAGCACCGAGCCGCACCGCATCGACAGGCATATCCCCAAAAGCGGAAGGCAACGCCAACCGCATGGAACCGAAGCGTAACACCTATAGAAGTGGTCCCACAGGCAAAACAACTGTACGGAGCCGGGTAGGGTGTTTTGTGGCTTTTGGTGGGTCTCGACCCGTGCCAGCTGGGGCGCTCTTTGAGGTTCCTATGGGCCGAACAATACAAAGAGGCACATCGGCCCCAGGGCTGCGTCGCTAAGTTGGCGCTAATTTCGGAGACGATCGTTTTAATTTGCCCGCAGGCCTTGCATCTTGAACTCTCGCGTTTGCTTCGTAGCAGTACTAGTGAGAGCAGCAGCAGCAGCAGCAGCAGCAGCAGTAGTAGCAGCACGCAGCGGCAGAATCGGGCCGCGGGCAGCTGCATGCAGACCACCAAGACTCCACAGCAACCGACCCCTCTGCGCCCTCTGATGGCGTCAGTTCCACGGGAGGGGCTTTGACTTTGAGTTGCAGAGATCGGTTTGCGTCGAAGCCGCTGTAGGCGCTGCAGGATGTTCTCTGGAACGGCTGCCTCCTGCCAAAGGCTGAGGTAGCATCATACCCTGAGTCTCGGGCTGTCGTGCGACGACTCACGATTTTGGGATTCAGGTGCAGGATTCCTTGACTCTCCCTGGCTTGGCATCAGCTTCCTACGTAACATTCCCATTTCAGCTGCCCAGGGGCTCACTGAACCTTAGACTCTTACAGTAGACGTTTCCCGTGGGCGACACCCTCCATCGTCTATTTTTTTGAAGCAGGCTCTATGGCCATGCCTGCCTGTCCAATCCTGAGCTCAAGCCCTGAAATCTGAATGCAGTCTTATTTCCTGCGGGCGCCGTCTCCTTCGACTGCATTTTCGCGCCCATCAGCCAGGGATGGTGCAAAGCCTCTTCTGCTGTCCACCTTCGGGTCAGTCGCGATACGGAAGGACTGCAATGTAGGGCTTAGGGCCCAGAGTCTCACAATACCACTTGTGAAAAGTAGTGTCAACAGTTTATTGCATGCAAGCTCCTGTACGAACACCGGGCTCTGAAAAGCTTTCTTGGAGCCCAAAGCTTGAAGGCCTTGCAGCAGGATCACGGCGAAGAATGCGGCCGCAAAGGCAGCGCGACTCGTCCGAATGCCCAAGCCATGCCTGAGGGTCGCTGCATCCGCACTCTCCGGAAGCAACAAGCCCCAAATGTTGTCCATGACGTCGTGCGCAGTGCTGAAGCAGAACACCGGTTGCAGGAGACACCTGGTGTTATATATAGACTGTGCAGATCCCACCGCGCGCCCCACTAGTGAAAACCGATGACCCCAGTTTTCACACCCACCCCATCAGCTTCTCCCGAAAAAGAAACTCCACTCATTCAGAGCAGTGAAAAAACCACAGCCTGAATGTTGCAAGCGGCCGTCGGTCAACTTCGGAGTGCCGGTGGAGACTAGTCTCTCAGAATTGCAATTAACATTTCAGTTCTTGGAGTTCTTGTTTGGCCACATTTTCCCTCGCTGCTCCTCCGACTCTCCATGCCTACTGAGGGCCTACTGCGAGTCTGGCAGTTACATGTCATCCCTGCTACTGCTGGCAACTACGCTGCTGCGCGCAGTGCTTTGGCCGGCAAGGACTGTGATGTTTGGCGGTGGGATTCGCAAAATCGGACTGGACAAACAATCACCAACACCGCTCAGAGCCTCAGTCGTAGGAAATTTGTTGGTCTTAGCCTCACGCAGAAAACGTTTGGGCGTTTCCTGCATCCTCGAAAAGACGGATCCGATGCCATGCAAGCAGTCACAAACTCTGTGGAGATCAATACATCACTTGAACATACAAATTTCACTGCAGAAAATGAAGTACACATATTTCCCTTTGTGCCACCTCCGTGTATTTGTGTGCGCATATATATATATAGATAGATATATATATATATATACATACACATAAAACTATATCTACATAGACATGTATATTCATACATACACGCATACACACATCCATCCTTCTATCCACCTATCCGTCCATACATCCATACACACGTACACACCTACCTACCTACCTACCTACCTACCTACCCACCCACCCACCTACCTACCTACCTACCTACCTACCTACCCACCTACCTGCCTGGCTACGTGCCTAACCGGTAACCGCACCGTAAGCCCTTGTACGGAATCCTGAAGCCTGCTCCTGAACCTTTACCCCTAAGTCGTCAGCGCTAGAGCCCTCTAGCTAAACGATGAAGCCGTCAACGCACATCGCAGTCCGGTGGCACTGTCGTCCATCGGCTTTCGAGCCGACATTTGACCAGAGGCCTCTTGTCTTGGTATGTTAGGGTTTACGGTTTTCCTTACCGCTCGCAGTGTTCTTTATAAGGATACTAATTTTCACGAGTGCATATTTGGTTCCCCTCTGTTCTGAGGCTCCCAAAAGATAACAATAGTCTGGCACCTAGTTCAGTTCGACTTCGAGCCTCAAGTGAACCTGGATATACCTCGTCTCCTAGGTCTAGTCACCACTACAAAGAGGGCCTAACGGCATTTTCTTCCATCGGAATGTCCAAGCCAATCCTCAAACAAAGACCTTCCCTGCCCTTGGCCTGCCCTGAACCCCCAAAACGCTTCGAGGTTTGATTCAGGATTCCATCTCGTTTCCTAGGTTCGGGGTTTGGGCCCCTTCCGGGTGTCATGGTCGAAGTTAAATGCGGTTAGTTGCAGAATGGTTTGGCCATTCGAGTGTGAAGTGTCGCGACGAGAATGCTGACTGTAGTGAAGTTGTGTTGGTGCCTTCTTTATATCACACAGACTGCCTAGAAGGCTTCCAGAATCGACCAGCACTACACTGTCAAGCTCCGAAAGCCTACTGAGCCCCGAATTGCCAGGCGGCACTTGCGATCGTGGACTTGCCCAGAACGCGGCTAATGTCACAAACAAGGCCGCGCATGAGCCGCCTCCACCGTGAGCAGGGGGGTTGCTTCACCAAAGTCTAGGGCCTAGGGCTGAGGGTTAGCAAGGTCACGGCTGCATCGTCTTTCTCAGCACTTCCACCGAATGCCAAAAGACTCGCAAGCTGCCCGGCTTCGGACTGGTCAGGAGTGACGAGGATCTCTGGGAGATCGCATCAATGAGATTGCGAGCACAATCGGAACGAGACCGAAGCTGCACATGTCCAAGATTGTCTCAAACCCAGATCAGAAACACAACGTTACGGATTTCTTGAGCACGCCGTTCGACTTAAGGTTGAGGCAGCAGCCCATCCCACACCCAAGCTCGTTTGACTCTGGAATTTCGATTGGCTTTTTCCGGCCAGGCCGCCCAAGACCCCAAATGTCGCTCTTGTGGGATCCGGAATCTTGCGTCCTCTGGTCTCTGAGAGGCTTCTTGGAGTCTAGGGCTATGGTTTACTGATTTAAAGAGATTTTTGAATGGCTTATGCGCATGAATGCATGGGGTCAGATGCAAACGACCCGAACATATTCGGGGAGCCGCTGTGCGGAACTTGCTCCAACGATCTTTCAGATCCGATAGGCCACCCAAAAGTGTTGCAATGCCCAGCTGATGGCCTCCTAGTGTCTGGTACGACCCAAACTCGACCCACACGCCCCTGACATGTTCACTCGAAATGCTTCGCTTCCAGCTCCTCCAGCTTTCAAACTGGTACTCCTACATGCTAGGTCTTAAACTGCTGGTGCAACTCTTTTTGTGCAGGAAGCAACAAGCCGTCGAAGGTAAAAGGTTATAATATAAGTGTCTTGGAAGCTTTCAAAACACCAACGCCCTACAAATCCCCAACCTCCAGGTCACCTTGCCTGCGTAGTTCGAGTTCAGTGCTAAGGGGTATCCTGCTACAGCCATATAGAGCCCCGCCCAAGTGTCCACAGACCCTCCTTTCATGCCGCTAAAGCACCTTAAACCCCAACAAAATACGGTCAAGACGAGCAGCGTGTCGACGCTGCGGGCACTCCCGAAATCTGCCACTTTGACCATGCCTGTCTTGTAACGACGGGCCCCTTGAGGCCCAGTGGGCTCGGGCTCTCGGGAAAGGTTCCTGGGCTCCGCCATGGAGGTCTTTCCGAGGGCGCAAGGGCCGAAGTCCCTAAAGGGTGCTGGCAGGATGATGGGCATTGCTTAAGGTCAGGTCTTCAAGGGCGCCCCTGTAGAGTAGAGACAAGGCTTCCAAGCCGGGTCTGTCAGTTTTAGGGTTAACTTTGCTTCAGTTGGTGAGCGAGCACAGCTGAGAAGCACGGAGATGCCGATGAACGTGCAAACTTCCGCTCTTGCTTGCGTGAAATGCTTGGAGGAAGCCTTGAGACTCCCCAGACCCAAGCTGTGTCCTGCTGTTTCCACTCAGAAGTACTGCGACGCGAACTTCTACGGAGAGGCGTCGAATTCCCGAACCCTGAGCCGAACTACCCCGCTCACCCCACCGTCCTCAAAGGACGAAGCCATCTGAAACCCTAGAGTCTCTAGAGCTGTGAGCCGCATGCTGTCGCATATCTGTTCTACGTCTAGATTCCAAGCACTGAGCCCGAACCCCGATTGGAAGAGATGCTGAATGATTGAGCCGGGATGCTTTGATCCAGAGGCTTGTCCTCCTTGATCAGAACATTCCGCGCTGCGAAGTCTCCATGTGCGATCCAGAGCCTAGGGTCCCACTCTCTGAGGGCTTCTGGGCTGATGATGGTAACAATGCTAACTAACGACTCATGATATTGATAATACACAAACTCAGCATTTCAGGGTCGGAGCTTTCAGGGTCCAGAGGCTCTGACCTCCCGGAAAGCTGGGCCTCCGCTGCCCGCGGGTCCGCCTTCTCTTTGAATCAATTTCACAGAGACAAAAAGAGCTCAGAGCCAGTGCCTTCTTGAGCCCTAGCCCTAGCTGTTGCGGATGCTTCTTTTGAAGACCTTGCAATCTGACGCTCCGCAGGAAGAGTGGCTGGTGGAGGTAGTTCATGGCAGAGAACAGCTGCTTCATAAGGGACCTCACGCTTTTCCGCTACCCAGAACTGGTGTATTTGCTGTGGAGACAAAAAAAGCAGTAGTTTTCTCCCCGAGAAACTATAATACGCAACGCTTTCTTTGAGGGTCTGTTGCTTGGGGAGGGGGTGACGTCTTGATTGTCATCGCCGTGTTCATCATGCAGCCCGTATTATACCCAGCCGGACAGAGGACAAACTTCCACTAAGCAGGAGTCTTTCGGGATCAGTGTGTCAGGCTATAGCGAGGCACTTCGCGAAGGCAGGCTGGAGACTTGTGACTAGTATCGGAGTGCAGCAAGCCTGAGTGCGCTCGAACTTCTCCCCTACTACAGGAACACGGTTGGAGGACTTCAGCTTTCGGCTAAAGGACTTTGGCTCTAGCCAGGCAGGACGACTTGGGAGTTTGGGCTCCACCTCAGCTAAACACTGAAAGAGTCATCTGCAAACCTTTGTCCCAGTGGCGCCGCCGTGGGTTCGGGCAAGAACTGGTCGGTGAAACCCTCGAGACGCTTCTGCAAATCACCTCCGGAACAGAGCCTGGGAACGTGCGTCTCAGTCTCATTTGGCTATTTATGGCTGCTGTATCTAGGATTATCACTTTCAGTCTTGTTGATATCTTCATCTTCATCATCATCATCATCATCATCCCCACTGACATCTTGTTGAGCCTGTCATATGCGCCTCTGGCCCAGCATCCAGGTATCATGAAGCAGTGAGGGGTCCCGGGTTTAACCATTGCTCTTGTGCTGGTGGATTTCTGCATCTGTGTTTCAGCCCTCAGGCTCGCTGAAGCCATGAATCGCTGGCATACTAGATTTTGAAGTCCCAGTACATGCAAAAGGCCATGGGGATGCAAATGCTTGCGCTTTCCTTCCGGCTCGTAGAAGCCCTGCCTGCCATTGCGCTGCGTTGGGAGCCGCAACCGGGCTGTCAAGGCTTTGTTTGGTACTTCGGGGATCTATATGAGATTCCCGCTTTCGCTACAATGCCAACTTCGAAGGTCATCTGAGCACCTGCATGGGACCTCCCTCTGCGAACCTGGTCTTGGGCGAACTTTTTACAGCACTGGGTGCTCATCGAGTGGTTGCAGAACCAACTATGCTGCACTAACGGCCCTACCGACGCGACACCCTTACCCCTGCCCTCTGTTGGCAGCTGCGGGACTCCATCACGAAGTACGCGTACTCTTTATCATCAATCACATCATAGAGCCGGCCTGAGTAGATGGTGGAGTGCTGAGATTCAACTACAGACTCGGATTTATCTGTTGTCGTATGGAAAAGGACTTCGTTCGCTAGCTCTGCAGAAAATCCCAACGTTGAGCTCCCTACCCTAGACCCTTGACTTCCTTGGTTATCACGCAGCTGAGGGATGGTGAAAAGAATCAGTTTGCAAGAAAAACCCTCTTCTCTTGTGGTCTCATCGTGGGGCTATGGTGCATCGCACAGTTACATCATGAAATCATGAGTATCTCCGGCTCGTGTCAGCCTGAATCTTATCAGCCGTCGTCATTTGCTTCAGGCCCGAAGGTTTACGCCTCAAGCTCAACCTTTACGATTGAACCGGCGGCCAGCCTCTGGGTTCTTACGCATGTCTGCTTCCACGCCAAGTCCAAGACTGGCGAGTACACACGAAAACACGGGCTTCCAGCAAGAAGAGCTTTCGGTCTGCCGAGTCTGCACCATGATTGTGGTGTGCCTGGTGCCGTCCGAAGCGACCGACAGCACAACATGCGGTACACACTTCTTCTCTCTTGCCCTCTCTCTATCTCTATCTCGCCGTCTCTCTGTCTGCTCCTGAAACCCTCCGCCGATCCCAGTCTCCTCGCTCTCTCTCGCTCCTTTTCTCTATGCCTCTCTTTTTGTCTTCTGTCACAGCGTAGACCCGCTGACCCACTCGCTTCCTCTTCCTATGCGGACCCCTGCTGAGCTCATTATCTCCCACAGAAGCTCAGCGGCAAATGTTCGGATGGTCCAGGAGTGCCATTATTGCGGCTTCCTGGCTGAACACGGAAAGGAAAAGGGCAGTCATGCAAGACTTCCATGGCTCAGCCTTAGCTATTCACAGGCCGTCATCGTCGTCGTCACGTCATCATCACCATCATCATCAGCATCATCATCACCATCGCCTGACGGAGACCAGTGCAATTTGCCACCTTCGCCTTCTACCAACTCCTGAAGCTCTAGAATCAGAAGTGAAGCAAACTGCCTACGAGGCTGCTGCACAAACAGTGCATGCATAGTTGAAGCCCCAGCCCTGGCCTTCTTCGACATTTGAGCTTGCTTGACCTTGGAGACAGTCTTGAAGGCCCGTCGAACGCCTGAGACCTTGTCGGTTGCCTTCGCTACGGTCCCGAAGCAGCCTGCCAGAAAAATCAGCTCGCCGGAAGGGAAGGGGAATGCTGTTCATAACACTTCTTGACCCTTAAACCTATGTCCCGAACCCAAACCCAGCCACGAATGACTCACAAACCTCGAGGAAGGGATCCAGGAGTTGTGTTTCAAAGCTTTGGCATCCACTGAGGACTGTTCTCAACTATTGGCCCTTTTTGGACCCGAGTTGAGGTGGTGTACGATGACAGGGGTGACAGGGAGTCTTCCTAAACACTAAGTCCTGAAGTTTAAACCTGCTCGGTTATCAATCCACGGTGCACCGGCACTTTAGCCTTAAAAGACCGCAGTGAAAATCCGGAGTGGCGGGGAAGCTTCCAAGCAGAGGTGTTGAGTCATGCCTACCCTACTCGTGGTTCTGATGCGGGGGCTGGGGGATGCTGGGGGCTGAGGCTCGCCCCCTCGCCCTTAAAAAGGACCTGCGCCCCTGCAGTCCCCACCTGCTCCCAGTGAATCGCCAATCTGATAGCGGTTTAGGGACTTGGCGCTGCGCTTCTGCACCACAAAGGATCGAGAACACATGGTGCAAGCTGCACTCAGGTCAAAGAGAATCCGACATGGCTCGATGGGCAAAATCAAGACATCAAGGGAGCCTTCGGGAAGGCTACAGTCTGAAGTGTCAAGGGCATTGGGGTACGTAGTTGATAGATAGTGTTTAAGCAGAATCTCAACAGATTCTCCTTCCTCGGAACTTCAATTTTGACGAAGCCCACCCCCCTTTCCCCGCACGCCGTCTTGGCGAGTCTGAGCCGCCCCTGTCTTGGACGGGGGCGTCTTCGAGCCGGCATTGAGAGGTTGCGAGTCTAGCTTTGCAGACGTTCGTATCCGGGCTCGGATTTTCGGGTGGGACAAACGAACGAATCCAAAAACTTCGTTGTGACAATGGACTTCAGACCTTAAACCGCAAGCTCCAAATATACCAATACCCTTGAAACCGTTTAAGGGTACCTGACGGACCTTGGTAAGTCCGAAGAACCGCATGGACGTGCGACTATCACAAGTATGTTTGTAGGAACCAGTCCGTCGCACGAGCAGCTCCCGGACGCTCTTCCCAGCAGAAGAATGGCTTCGGGTTTCGGTAATGCGAGGATCGGAGCTGCACTAAAGCCCTCTTCCCCCTGAAGGGACGATTCGAACGTAGATTGTCACAAACGAGTTTTCGGGTATAGGGTGTCGCCCAAGAGGCTTGCAATTGTTTCAACTCTGGTCTCGTCCGTTCTTGAACACGGAAGGGGCCAGAGGAGAGTTTGAGAAAGCGGTTCACTTCGGGGTGCTGCATTATACGAGGTTACTAGGACTAGAAGCAGTTCCAGTGTGCATCCTTTCAGATCCCAGTCGTGACCCAAGAAACCTCTTGCAGCCCTTCACGGACAGTTTGGGTGCGGCACGTGACGAGGATCTCGGAGAGGGTGCCAGCAGTGCCGGCCTGGCAGGAGATTGCCCTCAAAGGGATGATCAAAGGATCATCTGCAGCCGCCTCGCGCGACTGCGGTCTTGGCCCAAGACTCGCATATGCAAACTGCAACTTGCCGTAGAATGCGTGCAGGTTCAAGCGGGTAAGACATGATGTGTGTGCTTGTGATGTGTTTGCTTGGTATCTTACCTCGTCGGTCGTAAACTGTATTATACTACACGGGTGACGATGCACTAAACATGTATGTACAGCAATGTTGTGAGTGCAATACAGCGAGCTATACAGAGAGAGAGAGAGAGAAAGAGTCTGCGTGTATGTGTGCGTTGTCTGTGGAGGGAAACACGACATAGCAGTAACACAGTCTCGCTACAAGGTGTAAGACAACATTATTCTGTATATGTATGCATGTATGTAAATAAGTAAATAAGTAAATAAGTAAGTATGTATGTATGTATGTATGTATGTATGTATGTATGTATAATGTATGTATGTATGTCTGCCTGCTAACATAAGCTTTATGCCAAAGTGGATGAGTGATATTACATGTTCCGGCATGCGCCCCGCTTCACAGCATTTGCATTGTAAGAGGTCTTGTTGTATAGCTCGTCCAATGCATATATACATGCATACACGGACAAACAGCGTACGTACATAAGTGGCCATTCTTGCGATGCTCTATACACCAAGATGCTTCACCCAACCAAATGTCCTTCCAGTTTTTGCGGGTCAGCCACGAAGCCCAAAGCCCCCCGCCCTAACCCTCAAGAGTGAACTAGGAGGGCCTGACATGAAATTGCAATCTTGACCTGGCATCCGTGCACTGCCCTGTAAGTATGGAGTTGGGAGGGCAAGGTCCTGTGGCTAATCATGGTGCTCTGAGAGGCATACAGCTGTGGCATTTTCCGTCTCCTCCGATGCTCGGCATTCCCGTGGAGCAGCGCTTGGGCGCAGTGTGCAAAACATGACATTGCGCAGCTCTCCGGCTCCCTGCGGCTTGCGTGCATCCGCGTCGCCACCGAATCTCGGGGCTTGAGATTCAGATGGGTAGTGGATGGGCTTCAGGGCCTTTATTCCTACGACCACAGTTTCTGCACAACCCCAGCCTAGCAGGCCACTGCCATCGCTCGGGCACCGAAGGCACAGCTCCGATGTGCTCGCCGTTGCAGAAGAAAGCCGTGCTGTTTCCGCTTCCCACGGCAAGGAGTCGGTGCCAGCGCATCGGATCAAGATCCCTCCAAGGAAAAGGCGTGGTCACCAGCCCGCGTTTTGGGGTGAACGTCCCGATCTCACCCGACCGAGTCAACAGCAAGAAGCCGTGTCGGGCATCCGTCGACTTTGCAACCGCCAGGATGAACTGCTCGGGTGGATAGATGCAGACCTTTTCCCGGTGTTGCCAAAGTCCTTCAGTACAAGATCTCTTCTGGATTCGGGAAACGAATAAGTTTTCGGGTCTCACCCCTTCGGGCCGCTTTCGGCTGAAGCCTGCCAGGCAGGAGTTGCCACCATCCCCATCACCATCACCCCCAGCATCACCGCCGAGGACGTCCATGGGCAAATGTCGGTACCGAGCAGTACAAGCAACAAGTGATGAAGGTGTGATGCCATCCGCAACAACTATCCGCAGCAGCGAGACGAACACGCAGAAGCAATTCTGCCAGCAACAGCCGGAGAACACAAACAAAGTAGCAGTAACACCACTACCAGTACCGGAAGAATCCAACTACAAAGCAATCTCAAGCAGCGCACAAGCAACATTCGTTATGGATACTGAACAAGAGCACAACACTGACACATGAATCACCGAACAAGGCCTATTATAAATCCTAAGTCGTCAACAAGAAAAACAATTTAGGGTTTAGGGTTTAGTAGTTTAGGAAACCCTATAAACCCTAAATCCTAAGACGTCAACAAGAAAAATATGAACACCTGAGCCCAGGAGCTCCGGTCGTGCTCGGAAGTGTTGCCACCGGAATGCCACCTATTGGCACTTCTGGCTTCACCGGTTGGGGGTTTTACGGGCTTCTGTCTTAAGCGACTGAGGGTGAGGGCTTTCAGGATTGGGATTTAAGCTCATGTTTCAGGGGTCAGAGTTTGGGGAAGTTTGGTGCAGGTTTAGCAAGGCGTTTGAGGCTCAGCCGGTGCTTCCCAGAAGCTCAGGCCAAGACGTAATTTCATTCCGTCGCGGTTCAACCTGAAACGTGGACCCTCCGGAATCCTCACACCCATACATTCGCGGGTTGAGGGTTCAGTGCTCTAGTAGTTGTTGAGCTCTTTAAGGACTTTACTGCGAAACATCATCACTACGTTCCCCGGTGGCGCCTGCTTGTGCTGCAAGGACGCCAGTCTACACGCAAGACCCAGGCCGTCGCAGCTGGCCGCGACTGCAGCTGGAAGCGTCAGGTCTTTCAATGATTGTGTAACCTCCAACATAAACTTCAGCTTTTCTTTCAATGGGACAATCTGAGAATCTTATTCCTGCTCTGGTCGAGCATCGTCAGAAGCATGATAGTTGCATACTCCGTGCATTGCCACTGTTCGTTGTTTCCCCGGTCTCGTTCTGGAGTCTACCCTCGCGAAGCTGAAGATGTCTGGTATGTTTGAAAAGACCTTGTCATAAACTTGGTTTCTCACTCCAGCAGCATGTTTAGGTCAATCTTTACAATTCCTACTCGACGCAGCAACCACAGAGCGGGCCTAGGCACCGCTTTAATATAGCATGAATAATTGAATAGGGTCTGGGGAGAAAGTATACTGTCCTCCTAACAACGAACCCTCAAGCCTAAACCCCACCTTACCGCCGTGGAGGTGCAGTCGGATCATGTCGAAGCCTGTGATGAGGCGGCTTTCTGCGAGTTCGGACCGCCGAGCTCTCCTCATCACCGCAGTCTTGTAAGGGATGATTCGGGGACTGCTTGGGGTTTAGTCGGGATCGTTCGGGCTTAAAGGTTTTAAGGCGTATAGGGTTCACGGGGTTTTGGCCTTAAGGGCCAGACGGACCGCACGGCCGGCCTGCATGTAACCCGCATAGTAGTTCTTGCAAAACTAAACTTGATAGCAGCCCGTATGTAAGCCTTGCAGTACTTCCTATCGTATTTCACACATGCATACACACAGACACACACACACACACACCCACACACACACACACACGCACACACACACACACACGGTCAGGCGTCTGGTGGGTGGCTTAAATAGGGTCTATT